TGAAGGCATTTGGAGCAAAAAAAAAAAAAAAAAAAAAAAAAAGTACACTGATATTTCATCTCACCCCAGAAAATGTGGCTGTCATCAAGAAGTCAACCAATAATGAATGCTGGCAGGGCTGTGGGGAAAAAGGACCCTTTTTTACTGTTGGTGGGATTGTATGCTGATATAAACACTGTGGAATCTTTTGACCTGGTTATTTCCCTTTTGAGTACCAGAAGAATTAAAAGCATCAAAGCCCAGCGATATATGTGTTTAGAAGCAACCCAAATGCCCATCAACTGATGAATGGGTAAAAAAAGATGTGGGTTTCCTTATATAATGGAGTAGTACTCAGTCATAAAGAAAGACAAAATTGAGGACTTATAGCTAAATGAATGGATCTTGAGACCATAGTCATCAGTGAAATAAACTGGACAAGTGTGAGTAAAAATCGAATTATCTCCCTAGTGTGAGAAACTGAAAATCTAAATAAGGACATAAATGCGCAATATTGTGAAATGGGAAGAAACCATTTTTAAAAAGGGGGGATATGGAATGGGGTGTGGAAAGGAAGGAAAAGAAAAAACTGAGAAAATAGGGAAAAATGAAAACCAAGCTGTGTGAACAGGGAAGGGAAGGGGGTTTGAATAGGAGGTAGAAATGGGCGTGGGGAGAAAAAACAAGACAGATCGTGTACAGATACAAATTCCCTAGCAGGGGAAATTAGCACACACAGTTTTCTTTTTCTTATTCCTTTGCCCTCCCTTCCTCTTTTCTGCCCGAATCATTTCCATGGCGTAGTAAAATTTCTCCATTCTGGGCTCTCTTTTAAGTTCTTTCCCTCCACAAAGTCGGCCTCCATATCTATGAGGCTGATGATGGCCAGGGTCTCTCTCAGCTCCAGTGCCTGGGAGTGAGGATTCGGGGCCTCACTCATCTGATGGTGTTTGCTGAACACCTGCTAAGCAAAGGCAGCAGGGCACAGCTGGTACCGCAGGGCCTCTGCCACATGGAGCTCCCAAACCAGTGTGGGTAGGCAGTGAGTGAGACCCAACAGATTCACAAAGCATGGGGTGGCCTTTGCTGGGAAGGAAAGCCAAGCAGGGAGGAAAAAGGAGGACCTGGATGGTGGTGGAGGGGAGAGGCGGAGCTGAGGATGCCCATAGAGATGGGCTGGCAGAGCTGACTGCAGGAAGCAGAGACCCAGGAGCAGAGACCCTGGGAAGAACAAGCTGTGCAGGACCTGGGCAGAGGGTTCGGAGCAGAGGGACAGTGCTGGCCCAGTTCTGGGGTTGCTGAAGCACATTTGCCTGGACAGCGAGGAGGCAGCACCTGGGTTGTATGAAACCAAGGAGATCAGTGAAATGTTGTGCTGGAGGAGCTTGGGGCCTGGCTGTGTAGGATGACGGGGCAGCTCTGCTCAGCTCAGAGTCCGTACCCAGCACAAGTTCTCTGCTATTGGGAGCAGAGATAAAAGACCTCTGCTTGTCCCTGCTGATCGTCAGTGCTACTACTCACGATCTCAATCTCTATGCAACCGTGGTCCTTATCTCATTGGATGCAGGAGGCTGTTCAGAGTCACCCTCAGGCCAGGCTTGAGGGGCTCTGTGGTGCAACTTGCAGGACCGGCAGTGAGGAGGGTCAGCCCTGGCTCTCTCCTTCCACTCTCAGCAGTGGACTGGTCCTCCATGGGGTGGAGCACATGTAGCACGCGTGGCAAGACAGTAACATGAGGTGCTTCCTGCCATACCAATACTGAACATGGTGATGGGAGCAAGCGTTGGGGAAGTGAGAGCCCAGTCTTGTCCATGTGGCCAGGAATTTCCACGCTCTGTGCTGGACATGGCCCAAGTTCAGTCTGTAGAGCTGCTGTTTTCCTCTTGTTTAAGGGAAATCATCTGGAAAATCTGCACTAAGCATCAGCCATGACAGCCAAGGAACCCCACAAGTTAACCTTTGTGTCTTCAGTTATCTTGGAGACACAGAGACATCCATGACCTGCTGTCTTCTGCCAGAGCTACAGCTGTCACCCCATTTCTCAGCGCTTATTGAAGATATTCCATGTGAAAGTGGGCTCTTGCTCTGAAGATTGGTGGAGTCCAGCCAAGCCAACCTGTCCTGCACATCAGACACCATCCTGAAGCATCTTGTGTTCTAGGAATTGTGTGTGTTACCATACCCTTGAGCATCTGCAAAACTCTAAGGACGGTGCCAAGTTCTCCCACATAAATCATCTTCTTTGGTCCTTGCAGAAGACAACCTGGACAAGATGGTGACCCCCCCCTTTCCATGTGAAGCTCCTGGGTCACACTGCAGTGTTGTGACAGTGCCAGCATCTTTCCTCTCCGTGCCTCCCTTTGAAGGATCAGCCTGGCTCTTCTATGTGTCTCAGCCTTCACACTTACAAAGCTGGCTACTTGACCCAGGCTGTTGTCTCTTCAATGCTAGTAGGACCAGATGTGAGGTCTCCAGGAAGATGCAGTGAAGTAGCACTTGTGGTCAGACAATGGTATTTAAACAAAGATGAGCGGGGAAGGAAACCACCCCTAGTCACTTCCCTAGGAGAGTAGGGAGGGTTGCTTAAACACACATCAGCCCAGAACTTCTGGGTCTGCTTCCTCACCTGGCAAAACAGCCATGACCAAGTCTCACCGGGCAGTCCCTCCTTTCCTTTTCTTCACCACAGCTCACCTCTGTCCTCCCCTGGGAGGCCTGAGCTGCACTGTTATGGCCTGGTTCTGCACAGCAGCAGTGCCCATGAGCTTTGGTCTCTAGGCCACTGGATGGTCACTTAGCCAGCACTCTCTCCTATTGGGTTCTGGCTGCTCTGGGGTCTTGGGGATTAGTTCATTTAGCCCTGCTGTTTGGAGATGGAAGCCTGGTGCTCCTCTGGCCTCTGATGTTTGTTGCTCGGCTTTGGACTAGAAACCCCAGGGCAGGTGCCTGCAGAGGCTCATTGGGGTCAGCGAGGTCCTCCTGTCCCAGTGCTCACAGACAAGAGAACAGGGTGATCAGGGTGGACACAGACATGTCTTGGTGCTGCACTTTGTCTCAGATCCTCCTGGAAGACAGCAGAGCACAGGAACACAGTGGTGGCCACTGCGCTGCAGGCAGCAAGGACCAGCATCACTGTCCAGCTGGAAATGGAAGGGGACTCTGTGGTTAGTAGTGTGTGTGTGTCAGGATGTCTTTTTACTCCTGTGACTCCCACTTGGCTCACTTCTTAAAGTGTAAAGGGCTCCGATGGGGGCAGGCATCCCAGAGACTCGGACAGTGGTAACGTCTCTGCTCTTCAGAAACACAGCAAGCTATATCACTGCCTCACTAGAGACTGGCTTCAACGTCTACATGCTAAATTAATTTAAAAATTAGTGTCTGTCTGAATCTCTAAGTTATTATTACTGATAGGTTGTTACATGAAGCCTAATGATCATCTATTGGACATTTCCTGGAAATTTACTGAAAGGGAGATCGATGTCAGGTGGTTCTAATCTTGTGATGGGTTCAGTAGGGTAGATAAGTGAAATGATTTTAAAGTTACATTCATTCCTCATTCAAGCAAATTCTTGAATAGTCATCCATAAAAAGTGGGCCAAAGAAATGTCTCATATATCTCAGCGTCACTGTTTGAATGGTACCAAAAAGCTTATCACAGTTATGTTGAGCTGTAGGGGACTCAGGTCAACAACTTCTGACATTGCCAGTTAAGTGGAAGACCCAATACTATTATGGACTACTGGACTATTTTTTTTAATTATTTATTTATTTATTTATTTGTGTGTGGGTGTGGGTGTGTGGGTGTGTGTGTGTGGCCAGCTCAGCCCACCAGGGGGCGGGGCTGGCTGGCATGTGGTGCTGGGGGATTGAACCATGGTCCCTGAGCTTTGCTAAGC